ATTTGTAGTCGGTCGTCGATCCTGTAAGTCGATTGCTTTCTAATGCTGTGCGATCGATACGATCGTTAAGGCCGGACGACCGACTATGAATGCGACCTCAGCGCGCACGCGCGTCAAGATCACCGTTTTGCGCGCATTTGTACCGACCATAGAGCACGGAATAAATATTATTATTCCACTGATTTAGCGAATTAGCCCAATTGATCCTAAACCCGGTTTTTCTCTTACTTCGACAAGAGTCCTACAACAGTAATGCGTGGGCTCAAGGCTGAATCTACACTGGGATAATTGATAGACAATGAACTCCCCTTCTTCATCAGCGTGGCTGTTTTCACTCGAAGAAGCTTCAGAAGCAAACAGTCAAAGTTTCGACCAGTATTAAGGTTTTGACCAATGACCCTGCAAAGTGCACGCCTTCTCGGTGTTATCATGATGGACAGGTTCGCCGCTCTTGTCCGCAATTCACTTTTTCCTGAGCTAGCTTAACCGCAACCTCCACCTCATCTCCTCCAACATCTCTTCCGTTTATTCCGTAAAATGATATTCACTTGCCAGCAAACCACAAACAAATCGCCTGTCGTCTGCCTCCGGTAATTGTCTGAGCTTCCGTCCATGACATCCTATTCGACGGCGGTTTATGTTTTGCAGCCTTCCGCGTTGGTGCTGGATTTCTTGTTGTGTATTTGGGATTTCGCCGTCCTCCTAACTGTAAACAAGCTCTCAACCTTTGATCCAGCAAAGTTGTTGCTTACATTACATCAAAATAAAATCTCGTGATTGATTCGGAGTGTTAACGGCATTCTACGATGCAACAACATAAATTCTTCCCGAGTTTTCTGTCTCTCATTTGATTTCAATTTTTAGGGGTAAATCATGTCTAATCTATGGTTAGATGACGGTCAACAGCAGGATGCATGGTACGCACAGGGTCAAGGAGCATCTCAACCTCAACCCAATATGAGTTGGGGACAATTCGACTACTCACAACAACAGCAGCAGGACGCTAATCAACAATATACTAGCAGTAAGTGTTTACGTACAATCAGTTTTCATTTTTTCACATATACATTTTTCCAGATCAAAGTTATTACCAACAGCAGAATCCATATGCCCAATCGCAGAATTTCTACGGCGGTCAAATGTTTGTTCCAAGCGCCGGCGTTGGAGGTACAAATTTATTACTTTTTTGGTACAAAGCTGTTGGGAGGCGCAGGCCAGTTTTTTTGAAAACGCTACGCGCACAACGAGTGGGTTCTGACACTTCAATTTTCGCAGCTTCGGCTCACCCTTGTTGAGCAGTTGGATTACCTCTTTGCTTTTGGTCCATAGGACCAAGCCTAGGAGGAGGGAATCTTCGAAAATGAAAGTTGCTAAGGCTGATGTCAGAGTCTGCAGGTTTTGCTGATTTTAGCGATTTGCGCTATTCACGCGATTCACGCTGCGGGTCACGGAAATCACAAACGCAGGGTCAAGCGAGGCGTTGAGGAAAATTTGGAAATACGACCCCCCCCCCCACCACCCTCCGCCGGAGGCCGAAGTCCATGAAACAACCCTCTTCAAAAGCCGAACTATGAAAAGGTTGAAAAGCTTGTTTAATTCTCCCCCAAAACTGCTCATAAAAAAGCCCTGCTACCCCACCGCCCACAAAAAAAAATTCGTTTAAGAAGTACAAAAGTGAAAAAGTCAAAGAATAATCATTATTGATGAGTCCTACCAAACGAGCAAACGAGAAACAGACCAGAAAACGACAAACTAGCCACTAAAAATGGCATACTATGACAACATCTCTTCTTTATTTATTTCCTCCACAAGACTTACCAAATTCTAGTACTACACAGATTATGGTTCTCAATTTACACGTCCCCCTTTCGCTCAAAGGAAGCCTTGTAAAAGCCTTCGCCAGCTGTGTGTTGACTGGACTTTGGCGTTGACCGTGGAGCAGCTTATTTACTATTGAAATTTGAACAAATATTCAAATGATTATAACTTTCTTCAAAGTTAACGAATTTTCAATCTGAAAGCTGATTTGGGAGTTTTGTGAAGAGCTTTTTCTAATCAGTACTGAAATTACAGGAAGTTATAAGAAATAACAAATTTAGATCAAATAACGAGGAAAATTCGAGACGAGCACGAGTTTTTACACTTTCCGGAGCAATAACTTGCTTCATTTCCGTCAAATTCAAAAAGTTGATACGTCATACAAAACTAGAAGATTTTCTCTATCAAACGGTCGCTAAAGCAGCTTCATACGTCCAGTACTCAAAAAATGGCCACGTTGAGGATTTTTGCAAAATTAACGAGGAAAATTTGTGATGAGTGCGAGTTTTTTTACTTCCTAAAGCCATAACTCCGTTCAAACTCATCCAATCCGAAAAGTAAATACGCCATCATAAACTAGAAGATTTGCTCTATCAAATGCTTACTAGAACTGCTCCAAACGTCCAGTATTAAAAAAACGGCTGCTCAACGTTGAGGATTTTGCAAGAGTACCGCCGAAAGGTACTTTTTCGCTACATTGGCACTATTTCAACGGCTGTATATCCTTTTAAGGGCGATTATGTACTAAAGTAAGAGCAGATTTGGAAATCACTGCTTTTCTCTTTCTAAGAAAAGTGATTGATTAGCGTTTCTCAACTTTAAAGGTTACATGTTTATAAATTTAACCCTGAAGAGTCCGTTAACGCAATGTTGAATGGTGTACACCTCCCTGTAAATGCGCACGGACACTTTCAGAATTCTCTCGATTGTTCCTGAATTGAGGTTGTTTGTCCAAGAGCCGTAGTTGAAGCGCGCGCAACAACTAGACCCTTTCTCGGATGCGCCGTGTACCTCACATCCCTTCAGATTCGGGGTCTTACTTGAAAGATGAAATATCTCTTGGAAAGCGTGCGAAATTCAGATTCTTTAACTTGTGTGGTGATAAAACACTGAAGTAACTAAGAATTACCGGACGCCTCAGAATCACGAAAATTTTGTGTGGGTGAAATATCATTTTCATTGGAAATCCTCTGGCCTGGCATCGACTCATCCTTGATATTTGTCTTCCGACGGTGATGATCCCACTGCATCAAAATGGCTCGATCTCTTCCACCCAGCGGGCCAATACGACCCCCCCCCTGCGACGTGTCGAGGATTCCTCAACGCACGCTTGACCCTGATACAAGTCTCTACCTCACGCACTCTGCAATGTGTTCTCTGCCGCCCCTCTAGTTTATATAAGGGGTGGACTGAATGACTCTCATGATTCCTCTTATTTCATATTCAGTGTTTCAAATGTTCAAATGGGGCACTTGCAATGTTTGCGATCCGTCGCAGGTTTCGCGCAAATCGCTAAAATATGCAAATCGCGACAGACGCGAAACCAGCAAAACCTGCAACGGATCACGGACTGTGACATCAGCCTAACGTACCCCGGAGTCCTTTCTCCACTACCGCCCTATGGATATTCACATCTCGTGACGCTCTTACGCACATTGCACGCCTGCTGACTCAGAAATCAAATTTACTCCCCTCCCCCACCTGATTAGTTTTGCATCATCTCTTTTTGTTTTGTTGTGCGTTCATAGGGAAAAGTGGTTCCTGGCTGCTTGTGTTTTCCATCCATGTCAGGAATTTTTCCAACCAATATATATCCTAGACGTGCATAATTGCCTTGGAAATTACGTTTAGTAGTACAATCATTCTGTAAAGACATCTGGACATGTTTTCTTTGTTTCGAAAAGTTTTGTAGAGGTGAATTTGCAAAATTTCCTAGTGAGAAACTCTCTTTGCATAAACAGCTGTTCGATGCAGAATCACTTTTCTCCATCCATATTCTGTCGTTCTACGCTATGGTGAATCTACTGACTCACCCGGTGCGCTCGTCACTTCTGATAGAGTTCTCCACTTGCTAAACTTGGATAATTTGACATGTTTTTAATCTCTCTCATTCTTTCTATTCATCTCTTCCAAAAGCGGCAAATACGAAACTCATTGAGGAGGCTTAGAAGAGTAAGGATTTCTCCATTTTTTCCAATTTTTTGAACACTTTTTGCCCCATGATTCACCTTAACGTCAGTTACATTCATGGTGTTAGGAAAAGTCTTCCTCTTCAGTACATTATATTTTCAGGCGCAGGTGGTGGTGATGGTGAAGACTACGAAAACGAGCCACCATTGCTCGAAGAGCTCGGGATTAATTTCTCTCATATCAAAGAAAAGACGTTTGCTGTACTGAATCCAACAAGTAGTGCATCACCCGAAGTTATCGAGGATCAAGACCTGGCAGGACCTCTAGTATTCTGCTTGTTGTTTGGTGCGTCCTTAGACAGAAAACTTGTTGTTGTTTCTTCAATCTCATTCTTCTTCAGGATTTGCATTACTACTTCATGGGAAAATGACGTTCGGTTATATTTACGGCATAGGTGGGCTTGGATGTGTGGGCATGTATGCTTTGATGAATCTCATGGCGGGTAGGTATTTTTTATAAGCATAGTTTCCGTGTTCTTTCAGTGTTCATCTAATGATATGTTGTTACAGCGGAAAAGACGATCTCATTCACATGCACAGCTTCTGTGTTGGGTTACTGTTTACTTCCGATGGCGCTTCTCAGCCTGGTAACGGCAGTGTTGTCCTTCAAGGTTAGTTTTTGCTTATTTTTTATTTGCAATACGTATTACGAGAGATTGTGAAGCATACGGTAGCGTTTTCCGACACGTATAGCCAATTGGTGTTGTTCAATCTCTTTGCAATCTCTTGAGCGTCAATTACCTCAGCAAAGAGACGAAACGATTGGCTTTTCCGAAAAGTCTCCAACAATAAGTTCTTGCGCAAATTATAAAAGCCCGTTGCTCAATACATTCGAATAGCAAAATAAGTGAAGCGGCGAAATTCTAGCTGCCATTCATTTCGTTATCTAGCCTGCTATTATTCAGCTTTCCAGTATTACCATTGGCACGTAAACGTACCACCGAAACTTTTTTTTTGCGATGCTAGACTTTTCCTATTGAACTGGTTTTAATCTCATTTGCGCAATCGCTTCCACATAATCAATGCTTGCTATAGACCTATTTGAACTGTGACTGTCGTGGAGTGCTGGATACATCGGGAGTTCATTTAAATCCGGGAAGACGCACTGTTCCATAGTTTCGTGCTTCAGTTAACCATTTATCGAAATCTGTTTACAATGAGAATATTGTTATTGAGACAGCAATCGCAAAACATTCACGAACCTGCGGAGATAGATTCCAGGTTCGAACCAAGCAAGAGAAAATGAGTATTTTTCTTAAATCACCTTGCGACTTGCACAAGCGTGACGATTCAATCGTGGCAGTAAGTAGGTCGCCGCGCCAGCCGCCGCAGCCAGCAATATCGCGGCGAATTTGCAAAGAACTCAGCATCCAAACATTGGGGAATGTAAGATTAGATCATGTTTCCCTTCATGAAACATGAAATAGGAACCACCTTACCCTTTAAAATGCAGTTTCGTTTTCGCTCGCCATTATTACATACTTATCATATCATGCTTATGTTAGAGCCTTCCTCGCCGCTACTCTGTGTCTTGATACGCAATATTCTTTCCGATTGAACCAGATTATCACTCTCTGATAGAAAATCAGGAAGCGAATATTAATAAAGAAGTCAATTAATTCAAAATGACAACATTTTACACGGTACACCTTGGTCTGTGAGGACTTAATCACTGCAATGATCTTACAGTGACGCTTGCTGGCTTATTGATGTCCAGCACTCTGGTCTTATCAGTCACCTAGCCAACTTATGGACATGGATGGCTAAGAAAAGGTCCACACAGAAATCGCCGCACCAACTGCCGCGCGCGACTATTCTCGCCGCGTGAGCGGCGTGACCTCATTAGCCGACGATTGAATAGTCCGTCGCCTTGCACAACAGAATATTTTTCGCCGAATATGTTTAAATGTCCAATTCCTTTTATTTTCTAAAGAGAATACCATTGCATAGGCACGAAGGAATACTGCACCTCCATTTTCCACATGGAGAAAGATCCACTACTAAATCAGTGAAAAGACCAAAGCTCACATCCTGGGACCCTTTTCGGGCAGAGTGGGTTCTCTACTTCGTGGAGACCATCACCTACCCGTGTTTAACAGGATCCCTTTCCCGATTTTAAGAGAAACCAATTTTCTCCTATCCGCGAGCACAGCGAACCCCTTGCTAATCGGCCAACTCGATCAGAAATATTCCTGGTCCAGGGAGGAATTTAAGTATTTATTAAGGCCCCCTTGGGATATCTGCGTGCATCCACATCTACAACTCAGGTGGTCCCGTTTGAATCCGAGACATAACTCACAACGTATCTATAGTGTGAAAACTTGTGAATAGTAGAAATGAGTTGCGATTATCCATAAGTAACAGAGCATTTTTAACAATTTGGCAAACACATCTGCTTCGATGTACTTATGTTTTGATTGTAGACTGAAGTGCACTTATCCATAGATATGACCATTCTAAATTTGCGTCGTTTTCACTACTCAATTACAGTCACTGTTTTATAGGGAGTTTTCGGATATTCGGTGTCGGCATTGGCTGTTATATGGTGTAGTTCGGCGTCGTCAAAGCTATTTGTGATAGCTCTTTCTATGCACCAGCAACGCCTTTTGGTAGCGTATCCATGCGTCCTGCTCTACTCCGTTTTTGCATTGTTGGCCATTTTTTGAAGATTTCCGAGTGTTCTATAGGAGTTTTAATTTTTATAATTTATTTTCCTTGTTTTTTTTCATTTTCGCTTGCAACTTGTTATTGTTTGCACAGCAAAGGTGAATTCAGTAAGTTTGATCTTCTGATCAGCCCTTTTTTGTAACTTTCCCGGAGTCATTGTGATGATAGTTGACATTGCAAAAGGCCATAATGAATATCAGTCAGGTTCTGGACCCTCCTAATTTTTTTTCTGTGCGATGGTCATTCCTATCCTTTTCCCTGTTGCGACAATGCAGCAACCCAATGTAGGGAAGCAAACTGAATGGGTGGTGGGACGAACTGATTTGAGAGTTTCACCCGACTTTGAGCTCTTGGGAATCATATTGAGTGGTTCAGGCTGAAGGGTTTTGTAAGTTATCGTTAATAAAGACTAGTAGTGATATATTGTCCAAAATTCTTGAATGTGAGTTTTCAAGTGTCACTATTGCTACAACGGATAAAAAGCTGGAAATAAAATGTAGTTGTCAACAGATAAATAAGATTTCATAGACTTCTGCTTTGGATGGCTCATCATGATTATCCTTGCCAAGCACTCAACCTCCTCTGTTGGTATCCATTTCTATTGAGAGAGATTCCTATTCATATTCTTAATCATATTTAATTGTGATCTGTGGGTATAATTCTGTTGCCTTGCTTTTTAATTGTTATTCAATGCAAAATTCTATAATATTACCTATTGTGTTTATTATGTGTTCGATCGATCGGTTGATAAAGGGTTCATACGGTGTTGAGTCTACTTGCAGTCACAGTGGATGAATTCTCAGGTTATTTTTCTGTTCTTTTCAACTAGTAGTTGAAAGATAATCAGGAACAAGTAATGGACCGCAATCCTTTTTTGTAGATATGAACCTAAAAGTTGATACAACCCCGGAAGCGTGGCTTGTCACTCCAACTCCGGGATACGTGTTAAAATTCAATGAGGTTTGTTCTTATTTGGGTTTCTGCGTAATAAACACCAAATGAGAGTTACTAGGCGGTTGAGTTTTTGTTCTCGTGTTCAGCTTTCAATGGCATAGCCTAAGATCGTGTGTCTTTCTTCTAACATGCTCGTATCGTTTATATTAGAGAGGATAGGTCATTAATAGCAGTGACAGCCATATTTTGCTTATAAAACGATGTGGTTTCCAGTTCAGGTTGACATGAAATTGGTTTTTGGTGAAAGTGAGCCGCACAAGTGCTTTCTAAACATCTGTCATTGTGAGGAGCTACCGCCACCAACCGATGATATTGATGAAGTGAGTGAGAGTAGTACCAGTGTTTTTTTAAGACATAATAGAAGGAGGAAATCTTCTACCTTAGAGGGAGGATTTGCTCCCATAGCATTTTTGTGCTTCGCCCTTTGTGGCCTAGGGGGCCTTGCACGTGGTGAACGCCGCCGAGGCCTCGCTTTTACTAGGTGACGGATTTGACCTGTGATTAGTTGGTGGTCAGGGTTCACCGTTTGCGGCGGGGCAGTGTAGAAGCAGAACTATCTTTTAATTCGATGGCACCACCTGTCATGTCAGGGGAAGCAACGGACAGAAAATGGGTGTGGTATTGTGGGATTTAGGCTGTTTTTTTTTCGGTTTTTCTCCATCACTGTGCACTCTTTGCCACTTCTACCTTAATTTGTAACGGCGGCCCGCTTATCGAACCACCTATTCGTAAGTCGTGGGGTAAAACCTTTG